TCGATGTAATTTTTGCATACAAAAGTAGCCCCCGTAAGTCGCAAGTCATCCGTACGCTGACCGCAGTACATATTTTTGCGAGGATCCCCTTTTCTCAAGGGCTATTTTTTTATGGAAAAATTACATCGACGTGGATGTCGACAACCATAATAGCGCCGATTATTACTATTTTAAACTTCTCCAAAATCTCACCCAAATTCAACGTAGGAATGACATTTCTTTTTAACATTTTTGACTCCATTGCCTCTCTTTCAAAATGAATGGAGCATACAAAACAATTGGACGGCGCCGGCAAGTTATCTGTTGGCAAGATGTTGAGGTTCTCCCTCCACTTTCTTGCCATTTCCCACTCCTGAGGAAAAAAATACAAGCAGAATGATCCATTCGTATTGTTGCATCCACGCGCTTTGCACTTTCGTACAGGATTTTTAACTTTTAAAAATTTAAGCTTTGCTTAAAACCACCAATTTCGACTTTTCACGATGTCAGAGAAAATTTTATAAGAAATGTAATTTTTCCCTCCTTTTCTTTTTTTTCAATTTTGGCGCAATTTTTACCTTTTAGATTAGAAAAGTATAATTTATATGCATACCTTTAGATTTTAACATCTTTTCTGCACGATACTGTTGACAACATTTTTCCTGCACACCACTCTGTAAAGTAGCTACACCAACCCCGCCCAGATCGGTTGATATCTCAGTCGTCGTCGTCAAGTTCCACTAACGGCAGCCCTAGGAAGCGTGCGGTTCTACGTACCGGAATGACTCGGGTTTTACCCGACCAAGGGCTGTTGTTTCGGCGATCTAACCCCGTTTAGGTCGGCGAAGTATCTTAGAAGTTGCTCGTCCATAGGGCTACATTGCTACGTATTCTTCTACTCAGGGCTGGCATCGAGTCAAACCCAGGGCCAGAAATCTACACCTGCTGTGTATGCCAGAGACGACTACACCACAACTCCACCTCCGTCAAGTGTAATGCGTGCGAGGGGTGGAGTCGCCTTAGAGTCTGATCAGGACTACGGACACATCGGCAGTGGACCACGTCGTACGTGGCCCCCTGCTGCTCAAACAGAGCAGCCTCCACGGCTAACCTCAGTCCACCTGAGCAGCCTCACACAGTCACCACAGCACAACAACATTTGAAATGTTAAATAACCGCGGTGAGAACCTATCGTTGAAACGTTTCAGACTTTCGTTTTTACGATACAAAAATATGCACAACCCTTACAGGTTGCCAGGTAGGCGCTTTTGCTACGAACACATAAAAGCAAATGAACACAATGGACGAGGTAAGATGAAAAGATGTTTTTAAAGAAAACCAAATTTTTCCGTATGTTTATTTTATAACATATCTCCCACTACTGAGGTTTCCGCAATGGTTGCCTTTACGGTTGTCCCGTGTGCATTGTACAGGATAAACAGGTTGCCTCAACACGTTGCTTCAACGGTTGCCTTGTTTGTAGTCGGAATAAGGTTGAATATGGCTTACCATTTTCACACTATTGCTGCACGGTAGCCCTTAAGTAAAAACGGCTGCAACCCTGTGCAAACTTCTGAGGCAATTTCATTCACCTGAATTAAGACACAAAGGTGCGAAATTAGTTTAAGTGGAAAATACAGATTTCGTGATATAATGGCGTTTATTATCAATAAATATTTAACATTTGCCTTTTGCTTGTTTATTTGCTTCATATTGGTTGGTAATATCAATTCTGGGGTAGATGCAGCCGAAAAGGAGATACCCGCAACGATATTTGGGCAAAATGTTGGTGGGCCTACCATGACATTTTTATACTGGTAATAAAGGTTAATTCTTTAACCTCATGCAATATTAGTTCTTTATTTAGATTAATATTAGAAAAGAAAAATACTTATTTTTTCAATTAGTTACTCGTGCGGCTACCGTAAGGCTTTCGAGGATTATGTCAACATACTATCCGAAAGGTATCCACAGATTACTGTCAACGGTGCCAACTATGATCCACCCGGCTTCAATATGTATCTCTCACGCATTGTTTTTGCTGCTAAGATACTGTTCATTGTAGTTATTGTCTCGTCGTTTGATATATTTGGAACAATTGGCCAGCAGACACCTGGTTGGTGGCGACATTTGTTGGAAAATAAATTGTACGCTTGTATGATGGTGTTCTTCGTGGGAAACATGCTTGAAGGACAGGTAAGTTTGTATAAAAGTAATATGGCAATATGGGTGTTATCGGTTACCGAATCATTTTTTGATAAGACGACGTTAATACCAGTAATTTTGTCTAGCCTTGGAGCCGTCCTTACGTTTCAAATCATGTCCACGTTTAGTTTTCTATGAAAGCAAAACTATGTGTACAAAGTGGGTAGTATTTTAAAAATAATGTTACAAGTATGTATATACATAAGTGCATCAGGAATGATGAATCTATTAAAAATTGGGTAAACCCAGCTCCCGAGGACGATTCTAAGACAAATTTTTAGGGGAAATATGTATTTTATATAGATGAGTTTAAATGAACTGAAATATCTTACTTGCAGCTCGTCGCTTCTGGCGCTTTTGAAATAACACTTAGCGATGTGCCGGTGTGGTCAAAATTGCAAACTGGGCGCATACCAGCGCCTCAGGAACTCTTTCAGATAATCGACAACCAACTGCAATTCACAGAAACTATTCAAGAGAATCCAGACTTTGTTAAATAATATTAAGATGGACACTTGCACCACATACAAAATTAGCCAAACTATAGGAATTGCTACGTTGTCCAAGAACAATTTTGTGAAGATTTATAAACATTTAAATAAATATAAAAAGTAGTTAATATATACATATTTATACAAATATCGCTAGCTTAGAGTGCAAAGTTGCTAAGTCCAGTGGATGTCTTAAAAGTATAAATGCAAAGCATCAGCCTCTTGTAGTTCTGAACCATAGGAGAAAAACTCTCCAAATATCTTCTTGGTTGCGCATATTGGATTTTGATATAAGTAATGATTAAAAATGAGAACACAGCAATTTTTTTATTACAAGCTTTTTTTTGGCTCCCCTGGTTTTGCCGGGTCTGTATGTAGATATGTATGCAGGTATGTTCGTTTGGGGCAATCAATTTTTGACCAAATCCCCGATGACCTAGAGCAGAGCATATGATAAGCGGCGCAGGAGTCTAGATATTTGGTAAACCAATAGTTATGGACCGTTTTCGTTCATATTTAGAAAGCTTGTTTTAAAAATACAAATTTTTTATTATTATCCATGATACAAAAATATTTGTATCATGCTATTAACTTATTTAGTTTTACATTCAAACTTATATTGATTTTGAAACGTTGATGAAAAGCTTTTGCATTCTTTGGGCCTTATCACATTTTCTGTGGCTATTTTGGACCTGGCGAATTTGCATATCACTGACCACATACGATTAGAACTAATACAAGTAGTTTCCACATTTTCGGAAACGATGCATTTATAATTATTCTAGCTTCATGCACCAAAATATATTTTTTTTAGAAAAAATGGACGGACAACTTTTAACTCTAAGCTAGATATGAATCTAAAATTAAAATTTGGTGGTTTTAGTTCCTTCTAGGTTTGGCAACCTTTTCATATTCTGTGCACACTTGCTGGTGATGGCGACGACAAAGCAGGGACTCTGGGCGTTTCCCGATCAAGGACTGCTGCGCTAACATTACGAAACTAGGGGGCCTGGGTTGCTATTTAGAAAACCTCGCTACGTCAGGTGATCCCGGCGATCCTAGTATCTTGGGGATCTCAACAATGCCGTCATCAGAGTTCAATCAACCCGCCTAACTCTGGCACAATTAAGGTCGTTTGAACTCTTACTAATTCAGACTCTACCACAAAGATATTGAATGCACATACAAATACATATTAAACCCCCTAAGCTAACACCCTTCTCTCTCTGGTCTGATCCCGTTATACAGCGCGTAGTCTAGGCCTAATTGAACTTGGCATCAACGGTTGCTAGACTACCCGATTTAGGCAGAGATCAGAAGGGCCGCTACAACAACAACAAACGTCCGGGCGTCACAGACTATAGTAAAGGAGAAGGTAGGATCCACCGGCCACAATGGGAGTGAAACAAGTTGCACGTTACAATTGAAGTGCGATAACCCGCCGACGCATTTAGAGCTAGTTGTCTGTCATGGTAGTAGATAGCTCGTCTTAAATTTGGTGTACCAAAGGATAATGAACGAAAGTATACTTTCTTACGTAAGAAATGATGTTTTGCTAAAACGAAAGCTTAGCCATGCTTCGGAAAGATCGGCTAAAGGTCTTCAAATGAAAAATTAGTCTCCTCAGCGGTGGAAACAGGACCGACCGAAGATGGATGTTTTCTTACTCTTATTTGAAACGAATAATTTATGTAAAAGACGAAAAGTGTCCTTAATGAAATTTGTATCCTCTAATCAGGGGCCGAGATAGCGCTCCGGTTATGGGGTAGCACGAGAATAAAATGTAATCCCAGGAGCGTTCCCGTAAAGGAACTAAACGGTAACAAAAGTTTTGAGAGGAACCAACTAGAACGAGACTTTGTGCCATATCAAGGCGAATTAATTAGTCTGTTCCAATAGCAGTCCGGTTTACAGGATTTAGTCAGAACTTACAGGAAGTCGTTCCTATTGACATAAAACCTGTAAGTGGGAATACTTTTGAGAGAGTAATTGAGCAACTGTTCCTAGTCAGAAGTTACAGGATTTAGTCCGGAGTTTCTTTTCCTGTAAGTTCATGAAAAGTGTCAAACGATCAGCTGATTTGCATGTGCAAACAAAAACAGAAAGCGGTGAAAGCAAATAACCTTATGTTTGCTAAAAAATGGAAGTAAACAACGAAATATTTGAATATGTATAGATTTTAATAATTATTTAGTGACATTTCAGCCAAATCAGGGTAGTACCAATGACATGTAAACAAACCGTCTGACGTTTTTACAGGAAATAGTGCTTTTTGCGTTCCTACGGACTTCTGCATCTGTTCTCCTTTTACTCTCATTTGAGAGCGTAAAATTGTAGTTTGACAGTTCCACAGGTTTTAGTCCGAAGTTCAAAGGAACAGACTAATAGCTGAAATACAATGCCGGCGAACGGCGAACTCACCACAGCGAAATTCGCGCTGTCAAAATTAGAACACCCACAAGCATATGAAATTGAACACAGCCAAAGCGAAATGCGAAGTTCGCTTGGCGGCGTTTCATGGCGATAGATTTATTTCTATCGCTCTGCTGGGCGATGACAGCTGTGCGTGCCAAAGGTGGCCGTATTTGTTTTGTGCTTTCAAAGTTTAAAAAGAAAACAACCTAAACACGATTTTTTTTTTGTTGTTTGAAAAATATAGTTGCGGATTCGTTAAATCTGGCTTGAAACAAATTATTTATAATAATCTTTCTTTGTTTTACATTTATATTTGTTATCATTTCCTCATTTCTAAATATGGTTTAGTTTTTTCTAAATATGGTCACCCAAATTATAAAGGCGACCAAATGGGATCAGCTGTTTTCGCTACCGCTCTAATTCTGTTTAAGTAGGCGAAATAGTTGGGCGAACGGTGACCGACAGCATCGCCCAATTCGGCGAAGTTTGCCGTTCGCCGGTATTGTATTTCAAGCATAATTCTTTGTGAATAGTTCAGAGCATGGTGGAATAATAACAAGGTGTTGTCAGTAGCGACGTGTTTGTTGTAATTTTGACAAGATCGGCATGCTTATTTTCAGTGCTGCCGATCTTAATTTTTATATTACTATTCGTTGGGAAATAGTATCTAAAATACTCCATTTTAGTATTTCGATTTATCGCGATTTTTAAAGAACTTGGTGTTTTCAGAACGATATTAATATTTAAAATTCCTGGATTTGTATAATTTGTGTACTCAAAATATAAAATATAAAAGATATCGTGGTAATTAATGGAAAAAGACGTACACAAAAATTGTATGGAAAGGCGTTTTTTTATATTAAATATCTTTTGCTGCATTGTCATAATATCGAGCCAAATGGACTACTGATACACTCGAATAGAGCGGCAGTATGGTTAAATTACGATTTCGCTAATATTATCGATATTTATGTGTTTTAATCTATTTAAAAAATCATTTACAGTCTTATAGGAAATTGCTTTATTTTACAGCCTTTACTTTTTTATAAGTTACAATATATGTCCAAGCTGTGTGAAGCTAACGATACAAACATATATTCAGGCTTATAAGCCTGTAATTTTACATTTTCCTATATTTAATTTGAAATAGTATGCACAAACGGATTAAAAGTAGTAAATAATTAGTACCTTTTCTAATACATTAAAATGCGTGATCGGAATAGACCTGCCGAAAAAAGTGAGGTTAAGTTACTGACAACACCTTGTTATTATTACACAATGAGTTCAGAGAAGATTTGTTCCCGTTTTGTTCTCTGTCAGTAAGTTCCTGAGACTTTAGTTCCCAAATTGTTCTTCGAGAGTAAGTTTCTTAAACTTTTGTTCGCACATTTTGTTCTCTTAGAAATGTTCCCGAAAGCATTGTTCGCAGGGTTTTCTTCTTATATAATTCCCTTTGAGAACGTTAGTGACAGGTTTGTTCTCTTTCGTTGTTGTGAAAACACTCCCGAAGGTTTAGTACTCATTTTGATTTGGGTTTTAAGCGTTCTTGGGAACAAAACTACGATAATGTCCTTTTGCCTGCCTTTAATGCCTCTGAAAAACTAAAAACTTACATACATATCGTTAGTATAGTATGGAAAGTAAAAATCTCATTACATACAAGTTTTACACCAAATCTTCAACTTCAAGTCGGCACGGGTTATCGCCGTCTTATAGCAATCCACTGCCACTCCACTCCACTCCACTCCATACAAAAAGGAATGGGATGTAGCGTGGAAGGCCTCTTGATTCTCAGGAAGGTCTTTCAGAAGGGCTTTTAACTCCAAAAATTATCTACTGGGAAGTTCTACACGAAATCTTCAACTTCAAGTGGGCACGGGTTATCGTCGTCTTACAGCAATCAAACTTATTGGTGGCTATTACAGAACCCATCGTAGTCCGATTTTTCGTAAAATCGACGAAACTGCGTTCATTAAATCTGAATCGCTACGAACGTGTGTATTCGAACGGTACGTTAGTACTAGCTATTTGAATTCAATGATAGCACTTTCGTAAAATTCAAGATAAACCGGAGGACGATGGATTCTTATGTATATAAATATACATATATATAAATGCATATATATATATACAGTATCGGTCATATAAAAAGGACGCCATTTCAAAGTGATATTGTTTGCCCATTATGTTTAATTTTTTGTTCTTAAGAATGTTCAATTATACAAATACAAATCATTCTCTTACAAACCCCATATAAACCAAAGTTTAAAACTTTGTAAAAACTACAAAAAAACAACAACAAATTTTAACCCAAATTTCAGACTTTTTCTCGGAAGTGTTAGATTTTTTTTTGAGTACACAATTCAAAATTCAAAAAACAAAAACTGTTACTACTGTTAAGAGGCTCTTGTCTCTTGTCTAATCCTTGTCTAATCCATTTCCATCCCTTACTAAAGCAAGCAGTAAGGATTGCTAAGTAAGTACAGAAAATTAGACATGGACTCGACAAGGATTAAAGACATGAGCCCCTTAAGAGTAGTAACAGTTTTTATTTTTTGAATTTTAAATTGTGCCGTTATTGCACAGGAACATCGATATTTACAAATAAATTCTGTTTATTCGTTATAGGGAAACAGATGCGACAAAAACAATTCTAAAAATTCAACGATAATTTTTAGCCACCTGAAACTTGCACATTAATAGAAAGTGAAACTTTGTTGAATTTTTTTGTAGTTTCCTACAAAGTTTTAAACTTGCGTTTATACGGGCTTCGTTAGAGAATGAACTGTTGAAAATTTTTAAAAATCAAAAAAATAAAGATACTTAAGTGGCGAACAATATAACTTTGAAACGGCGTGCTATAGATATGACCGATACCTACGGTGACCATGCGTCCTATTTTTTGTAGGACCGTACTGTTATTCGAAGGTCTGTCCTGCGTAGTTTTTCAAAAGAGAAAAATCTCAAAATGTATTGATTTTTTCCAAGTGTCCTGCCTTTGTCCCGCATTTTATTCGATATTTTAAAAGAAACGGCGGGAGCCCTTTACTTATCAACATATAATCAGTGTCGATAACTGATTGATAACTACATGATTTTGAGGCTGATTTTGAAGCTTCGACAAGTCAAAGCGTTCTAAATTTTGTGTGGATGGCAAGAAAATGAAGACCAGCATCACAAGTATCAGTAACACTGCTCTGCAAATTTTATACTAAACGCGTTAACCTATATTTTTTCAAGCATATTTTGGTTTGATGAACACGAAAACAGTACAGAATATTCTTTTCAAAGATATTTCGGGATTTTTTCGACAGACGTGTTTTTTTTTACTTGCCGGAGCTATTCTTCGATATCTCATGAAAAGATTCAAAAGGTATTGAAGTGCCTCTTACAACTCCTCCACTTAAAACTTGCACTGGTTTAACTAGAATTTTTCTTAAAATTCATACTAAAAAGTAAAAATTTAAATGAAGTTTTTGTTTTAATTTTTCTAAATTCTGTATAAAGTTTGACTTATTTGGTTTTGGTTGGAGAATGCACCATATTTTTATAAAAAAAAAAAAAAAACAATTTTGACTTGAAAAACATTGCAAATATTTAACAAAAATCACCATGCACCCACTTTTAATAACCAGTGTATATCGAGCCCTATCTTGAGTCCGACCGATTCATCGGCATCGGCTAGTATTGGCAAAAAATTGAGCATCGGCATCGGCCTTTTTTCGCCGATTATTTGGTATTTATTTTCATATGTTCAGGTCAAGCGACAGACAACAGCCAAAACATTTGCAGACAACTTACAAAAATGAATTTTTTGCTCGTAGGTTTTTGACGTTTTTTCAATACAAAGGTATGTTCGACAATTTTCATTTATATGGGAACACAGCCTGCAAAAAAGAATTTCTAAAAATTAACGAGATTTTATAGCAGTTTGAAACTTGCACTTCATTATACTAGAATTAAATGGCCTACAAAACTGCATATCAAAATTCTGATTAAGAAGTTTGAAATTTTGGTGACAATAAGCAGATATTTTCTTGTTATTTTTATACTACGTAAATTTACATATCGAGCCCTAACCGCCAAAATAACGTAAGCGACATTTTTTTTTCAAAATTTTCTTTTTGATGCAGAAATATTCCTAGAGCATCTAGATACATTTCTGCATCAAAAAGAAAATTTTGAAAAAATGTCGCTTACGTTATTTTGGCGGTTAGGGCTCGATATGTATGAAGGTAAATATATACATATATTGTTTTCAACTGTCCTGCATTTTAAATTAATATTTATGGTCACCGTACCGATACCGTATGTATAAATGTATATATGAAAAAATAGTGCGAATGCATATCAAATGTCTCAGAAAAAGTTCACTCCTTATATTCTGGAACACCCTAATGTACATAGTATATGAAGGTAAACACATTACAAATGATTTCGGCGGAATAAAACATACATAGATAGACTTAAAAAGCAGTGTACCTTAACCTTTTTGACTGACAGTATACTAGTCTCCGCTTATTTGAAGCAGCAGCTCGGTCAAAAAAGATATTGCATACAAATACATACCTACATACATGTTCCACGCATAATTGAGCCAGGTTAATTGCAAGTATGTTTACATATCGCTCATTTACTTGACTAGTGTCATAACCCAAAAAATACAAATATTAAGCTAAGTATGCAGAAATACCGCAATCTTTTCTGCTTTGTTGTGTAAAAATTTCACGGCTATATCGATTACCAGTATCTCACTAGATCAAAATAGGTACCTACATATTAATTTTTTTATTATGGGAGCATTTGTAATTGAAAACTTTTAAGTCGTTTATCTCGAGTTTTGATTTTTTGAGTTATGACATTATTGAAGTAAATGAGCGATATTTACAGTAATAAATATGAATTGTTTTTGTTCCTCATATTTTTCACTTGAAAGTTAAAAATACTATTTAAATAACACAAAAAAAAAAAAAATAAATACTTATTTCGGATTTCTGTGATTGAACGAACCCATGGTGGAATAATAACAAGGTGTTGTCAGTAGCGACGTGTTTGTTGTAATTTTGACAAGATCGGCATGCTTATTTTCAGTGCTTCCGATCTTAATTTTTATACTACTATACGTTGGGAAATAGTATCTAAAATACTCCATTTTAGTATTTCGTTTTATAGCGATTTTTAAAGAACTTGGTGTTTTCAGAACGATATTAATATTTAAAATTGCTGGATTTGTATTATTTTTGTCCTCAAAATATAAAATATAAAAGATATCGTGGTTATCAATGGAAAAATACGTACACAAAAATCGTATGGAAAGGCAATTTTTTTATATTAAATATCTTTTGCTGCATTGTCATAATATCGAGCCAAATGGACTACTGATACACTAGAATAGAGCGGCAGCACGGTTAGATTACGATTTCGCTTATATTATCGGTACTTATGTGTTTTAATCTATTTAAAAAATCATATACAGTCTTATAGGAAATTTCTTTATTTTACGGCCTTTACTTTTTCATAACTTACAATATATGTCCAAGCTGTGTGGAGCTAACGATACAAACATATATTCAGGCTTATAAGCTTGTAACTATACATTTTCCTACATTTAATTTGAAATAGTATGTACAAACGGATTAAAAGTAATAAATAATTAGTACCTTTTCTACTACTTTAAAATGCGTGACCGGAATAGACCTGCCGAAAAAAGTGAGGTTAAGTTACTGACAACACCTTGTTATTATTACACCATGGAACGAACCAAAAATTTTACACAAACTTGTTTGTGTTCGGGTTTACAGTCAAATACAAAATCAGAAAAATCCTCTTTTATTTTTATGACAACGTTTCGGCGTTTTTCTTCGCAAACTTAAATTTTTTTTATTTATTTAAACTTTTGTTTGATTGAGAACCTAACAAGTTATGTTTATTTATTTGCTTTATTGTCATTAAGCCATGAAGAAGACCAGAATAAAAAAGGTCGAAACGTCGGTATAAAAAAAAAAAAAAAAATGATTTTTTTCTGATTTATTTTACTGTAGATCCGAACACACAAACAAATTTAAATAAACAGAAAAACGGGTTTAAAATTTTTCAAGTTCATTTATCCGGGGACTACTGCATGCCTGCTCGTTTTTGATAACTATCATACTCAAAATAAAACTCAACGATTCACAAATATTTTGTTTTATTCATTAGATTATTTCTTCGTTGCTATTATTTACACTAACATATTTATGTGGTAAAGTAGTTAAGTTACATTTGGTTTTAATCGCAATTAAACTATAATAAAAAATAATGATTTTTGCTTTTGTTTTTCATTAAAAACGCTACAAATTAGCTCATGCTGGGCAGTATTTGGGTTATAAAATAGAGCATCATTTTCCTAACAATTATTTCTGTTAATTTGAAAGTGAAAAGTATCGAAAAAAACATTCGAAAGTTTTAAAATATTTCGTTTTTTCTTTTTTAATGGCACACACATGGCATTTTTTCACATAACCTAAAGTTTATTCGTAAGTGTTACATGGTACATATTTTTATCATTTATATACATACATATGCATATACTCAGCGTTGGTTTTATTTATTTATTTATTTATTTATATTAAGAAATTGTATGCTTTTATGAAAAATATTAAGCTTCTACCTATTTTGTGTTGAGGGAGGAATAAAAAAAATATTAAGCTGAAGGGAAATTTACGGCGCATATGTATCTTCGCGAGGGCGTCGTATGCGATTGGCGCCATACTGGTTGCCGGCATAGTTGTAGGGGCGACCATTCTGGTCCGGACGTCGATAGTTCGGGCGATAGTAGGTGTTCCTCGGCGGCAGCTGTGGTGGTCGCCGTATTGGCACCGGAACGCCTCGGGGCTCTGGTGCAAAGCGTTCAGGACCGCGACGGAATTCAGTAGCCTCCACCTGTACGGAAGACAGGCGACGGATGTACGAGTCATTCTTGCGGCGGCAAACGGTGCAACTGTGAATGAAAGAGATTATGCATTTGGCCTCGACCATCTGCGGTTCAGTTGTACTTACCGGCTCACTTTGCTGGTCTGATCAGCCTTTAGCGTTTGCTGCTTCGGTTGCAGCCACTGTTCGTGTTCCTCGATCACAGCCAGCCAGAAGGAAGCGAGAGGGTCGTAATAGTTGCAACGGCCATGTCCATGACACTCGATGACCGGGTTGGCACGGAAATCTTCTAAGCATGAACCCGGCGAGACCAAATTCTGACCAATGCCGCCGGTGTTATCAGTTGTAGTCTACACGAAAGAAATGCAAAGTTGAATAAAATGTATGCTATAGAATCTCCTTTCCTCTTACCATCAAATAACTGTAACCGGTCCACATTTCTTCCCAACCATTCGGACAGTCTGGTATGCTCATGCTTTGGCTGTGTAGCGCTATGATACGAGTGGTCGTTTCACAGACTACACAACTAAAAGGAAAAAAAATGAAACAGTTCGAGTTTTGTAATTTCACAGAGTTAACTGGAATAAATAATTGAATGGTTCTGCCCACTTACCGCGATATGAATTTCATCAGATCTAAGGATTGTATCGGGGCCATGTTCATCGGCATGGGTTCAGCAGTGGAAAGCCACAAGCTGTCGTCGTTGTTCTGCGCGTAATTGCACACATTGTTCACATCGCAGAACATGTACGGCATTGTGGTGAAGCGCATCATGCAGGAGCCAGATTGTCCCAGATCTTGTCCGATGGCCATGCTGCTACCAATATTGCCTGCCAGTGAGAAGCCTTCCCATAACTTGTTCGTATTCACCGGACACTCGGGTATGCGCACCGATTGCGAGTGACGTGTAAACACAAATCCGCGACTTTTCGGTAGCGGTGGTGGTGGAGCAGGTGCACCAGCTAGACCTTTTTGTCCTGGTATTCCAGGCAACCCCGCGAGACCTTCTAGACCGGGCATACCTCGTTCACCTTGAGGACCATCTGGTCCCGTAGCACCCATGAAGCCTTGATCGCCTTGGTAACCCTTTGCACCGCGCCAACCTAAACTTCCAATTTCACCGATCTCACCAATGTCGCCTATTTCGCCTTTGAAGCCATCAAGACCAGGTTCTCCGCGATCACCGGGCCGCGCGAAACTGAAATCATATGTAACACCGCGTTCACCTTTGGGTCCTTCAAGACCATCCAAACCATCGATACCACTCCAACCAGCATCACCCTGTGGCCCGCGTGGACCTCTGAAGCCAAGCGGACCCGGACGACCTTGGAAACCTTGCTCTCCTTGTTCACCCTTTAGCCCGTCATATCCGGCTTCTCCCATCAAACCGATATCACCAACCTCACCATTTCTGCCGCGAATAGCGAAGCCGAGCTCACCGCGTTCACCTTGGTAACCATAGTCGCCGCGCTCTCCTTTAAGGCCAGTCATGCCCGGCAAACCATTACGTCCTGGCGGGCCAGGATAGCCGACATCACCAATTTGGCCTTTTGGTCCGCCAATCGAAATACCTGGCAAACCGATTAAACCATTTTCTCCATATTCACCTTGTTCACCAGGTGCTCCCTTGGGACCTACGCGTCCTGGTCGTCCGGGGAAGCCATCATAACCCGGCTCACCTTCGTCACCATTCTCGATGAATGAAGCTATTGGACCAGTGGCGCCACGATAGCCTTTGTCTCCTATTTCTCCTTTTACACCAGGATATCCATCCACGCCTGGTGCTCCAGCAAAACCAATATCTCCTCGTTCGCCTTTAAGTCCTGGATATCCGGAAGAGCCCTCGGGACCTTGTTCGCCAATAGGACCTTGTTCACCCTGGAAGCCTTGTTCACCTTTGTCACCCCGTTGTGCGAAACCACGTAACAATATACCAGGTCGACCTGGGTAACCTATATCACCTCGCTCTCCTTGTGCTCCTATATCTCCGGGAAGACCAGCATCGCCTTGGTCGCCTACCAAACCGGGCAAACCGGGATAACCACTTTCACCACCATCACCTTTCGCTCCAACCGCGCCAGGTAACCCTATAGCTCCCATAGCACCTTTTCTACCGGGCAAGCCATTGCGGCCACGATATCCAGCCAATCCCTCGTCTCCTCTATCCCCTACCTCTCCGGTAAGGCCCGTTAAGCCAAAATCACCTTGCTCCCCCTTAAGACCAGGTAACCCATCCAAGCCATATCGTCCGGGTACACCCGTTTCTCCTTTTATGCCAGGTAGTCCATCTAATGGTATGGGTGTATCGCCCTCCGGACCGCGTTCTCCCTTTGCGCCGGATAATCCATCATAGCCCCGTGGTCCCATCAGACCTGCTTCACCATTCTCACCCTTAATACCGCTATATGCTGCGTTTCCTTTGGCGCCAGGACGTCCAGGAACACCACGATCACCTGATTCACCTCTGCGTCCGGGAATTCCTAGTGCTCCAGCGCGACCTATCGGACCCACATCTCCCGATTGACCTGGAAATTGAAAAAGTATGTTGTTGAACGGATTTCAAATTATCATTTGTTCAAAGCAATTTCACCTTTTGGTCCCATATAGCCAAAAGGTCCTCGTGGTCCCATGTCACCCATTCTACCATCATAGCCGATATCACCACGATCGCCTTGTTCTCCGGGTATTCCTACCCATCCAGGGCTACCTGTTTGGCCTGGCTCACCAGGTCTGCCTTGGTCTCCAATACGACCACGTCGTCCTGGGAATCCAATGCTACCTTTGGCACCTTGTACTCCGACTGGCCCCGGCATACCAATTTCACCCTTGTGACCTTTGCGCCCATGGGGGGCGGTCCTGCCGTCTCTTCCCGGCGCTCCCTCAAGACCAGGATAGCCAACCAAGTAATCACCACGTTGACCTTTAACACCTGCCAAACCTTGCAATCCAAATGCGCCATCATCGCCTTTCGAACCTTTAACGCCCTTGCCACCAGGTCTGCCAGCAGGTCCAGGAGCACCAGGAAATCCGATGTCACCTTCTACACCCTTAACGCCGGGATATCCATCAGGACCCATTTCACCGGGCAATACATATCGCCCTGGCTCACCACGTAGACCTTTAGGACCTAGCGAACCGTCTAGACCAGGTAAGCCATCTATACCGGGGTTTCCAGGAGCACCGTGTTGTCCATATTCACCAGCTAAGCCAGGCCATCCTTTAGCACCTACAGGTCCTGGGATCGTTGGACCAGGCAATCCAATGTCACCTGGAAATCCCTGAATTCCAACTTCTCCCATTTCACCTTTCAGTCCGATTTCACCGGGCAGTCCAATATATCCCTTGTCACCAGGTTCACCTTTGTTGTCGTAGATTTCGCCAGGATTAGGCTCACCTTTATCACCTTTTGGACCCTCGCTGCCTGGCTCGCCACGTTCACCTCTATAAGAAAATAAGATGTGTATATAAAACTCATTTTCTAAACAGAAATTAAAAATAAGCGTACATCAGACCATCTCTTCCAGGATTACCAACCAAATATAACTTTGGTGTCGAAGCATCAAGACCAGGTTTTCCTTCGTAGCCAGGTCTACCGGGTAAACCGTCTCTACCCGGGCGGCCAATATCTCCGAAATCTCCTCGCAATCCAGTTTCACCCTTTGCACCGTACAGGCCAGCCCTTCCATCCAAACCGCGATCACCAGTAGCACCTTGTTCGCCGCGCTCACCAGCATCACCTATATCACCCCTTTCCGGTGCTGCAATGTTTTTGATTCTACGCGCGATACCCGGGCGTCCAGGAGGTCCAGGACGACCCATACCTCCACTGGCGCCAGCGGGGCCTGGAATTCCTTTTCGACCTCTCGGACCTGGACTGCCAGCCCAGCCTTTTGGACCTCTTTCGCCAGTTAGACCTACAAGACCTCGTAAACCGTTCAATCCCGGATAACCAGCATCACCCTGAAGACCCTTCAAGCCACGTGGCCCAGCTGGGCATATTCCACAATCATCACCACGTATACCTTTGTCGCCAACCAAACCTGGCCAGCCGGGAACACCATCAAGACCAGGTTGCCCTCGTATACCAGGCGGTCCATCAGAACCAGGCGGCCCAACGATATTCAAACCATCTCCAGATGCACCTTTGTCTCCGGGCAATCCAACTTCACCACGATCTCCGCGGTAACCGTCTGCTGCCGGCTGACCTAGCTGCCCAGCGAAGCCTTTAGGCCCCCTCAAATTCAGGCCTGGTTGTCCTCTTTGACCAGGGCGGCCAGGTAGCCCAGGATTTCCAGGCGGACCCAATGGGCCAGGAGGTCCCATATAGCCGTAATCGCCATCGTCACCTTTAACGGTGTCTCCTCTTCGACCGGGTGCACCATCCAAGCCTCTGTCGCCGGGTGGTCCTGAAGGACCCATCGGCCCAGGACGACCTTGTCTTCCAGGTATGCCAGATAGACCTGGGTTACCAGGTGGCCCAAGATCACCCTGGGGACCCTGTGGGCCCGGGAATGATATATCCAAATTAGGATCGTAAATGCCAGGCGGACCGGCTGGACCTTGTATACCGGGAATGCCGTCGAAACCACCATCGCCATGTTCACCCTTTAAACCATCTTCGCCATCGAGACCATTATAGCCCGGTGCACCTTTAACACCCTTCTCGCCAGGGAAACCAGGCTCACCAGATTTACCCGGCTTTCCGCGCTCACCCGATTCTCCAGTGTCACCTCGAATTCCAGGCAAGCCTGTTGGACCTACATCTCCTGGCTCACCTGGAGCTCCGCCAGTACCCGGCCAGCCAGTTGGACCTTTATCACCCTTATACCCTTTTATCACTTTGCCGAAGTTCCATTCACTCTCTTCGCCATCTCCAGGTTCACCCTTTTCACCCAGTTCACCTTCAGCGAAAAGTTGCAGGTTGGCCGGTTCAGCCATTTCTCCTTTATAGCCCTTCAGGCCCAGCTCACCTTTGGAACCTTCAATACCAGGATAGCCGATATCACCTTTGTAACCCTTCATTCCAATATAGCCAAATTGGCCGTCTACACCATCAGGACCACGTTCGCCACGACTACCTTTGGTACCTTTCGAATTAATACCACCCTCACCAGCATCTCCGGTGGGCCCTGCTGGACCAGGTTTGCCCATTGGTCCACGCCGACCATTATCTCCAGGTAAACCGGGAGAACCTTGCAGACCGGACTTACCGTCACAACCGTCTATGCCACTAATGCCCTTAGGGCCGTCTTCGCCAGGTGGACCCTAAAAAAAAGTATGATCTTAGTCTCCATGACTTTTCTGCTTTCAGCAGAACAACGAACACGACAACAAATACTTTTTTGAACTTATTCTGAGAATGCTAATATACACTTACCGCTAGTCCAGGTCGGCCAGCTAAGCCCAGTTCTCCTATATCACCCTAAAACAAAATTGGTACTCATTGATTGCATCGAAATTTAAAGTTTTACTTAAGTCTTGCTTACTCGATGTCCTTTTTCGCCTTGTTCGCCATACTCGCCGGGATCACCGTATTCGCCGCGACGTCCGAAAGGACCCATCGGACCCACCTCGCCGGGAGGACCCTCAATGCCAGGGTAACCTTTTGTACCAATAGCACCTGGACGACCTTTTAACCCCTTGCAATCACAAATGGTGTTATTGCAATTCTTGTTCGATTCCTGCAAAGCCAAAGTATTTAAATTAATAAATTAAATCTACTTAACGGATTATACGTATGGAAGTGCAAAATCAACCAGTCTAAAACCGAAACGAATTTGCTTTAATTACACATTTAACTTTATTTTTCCCCTTCCAAGGTATGATAGCTATGTAGGTATTTAAATTTAAATAAAGCCCTATTTTTTCTAGCTCATGGAGATTTATTTTTATTGATGACATGGATGTTTTAAAATTTTTAACAATTTTCTTGGCTCACGTCGCATTATTTTTATCGGACTTTGAAGTTTTGAGGTTACATACAAATGCTGTTAACATCTGTAACTATATCTGTCTTTAAAGTCTTAGGTTTATTGGAAAGCAATTAAAGATCACTTCTTTTTTAAATCAATATTTTTGGAACTCTAACACAAATGCAATAAATTTTTATATATGTATAAGATAAATTGTAAATTACCATTTGGTTTTTTCATATTTAGACAAAGAACTCTTTAAATAATACATTACCAACAAGCTTAGGATCATAAAAATACTTAGATAAATATTTGCGGATTTTATAAGCATATCATATATTTTATACGAATACCTATAACAATAACATTCTCGTAATCAGAATGCCAAAACACACCAGATACACTTTGCAGCCCATGGGATTTTTTAAACAGTTCAAAGCTGTCGTACAGTGTTATTATTGTATTTCTCCAATCTCTAATTTTCTATGCAAAAAATTTTATTTCTCAACTTGAGAAAACCGCACTTCTCAACTTGATTAAAAATGGATTTCTCCTATCGACCTCAACGTTTTAGAATCGAAACATCAAAAGCGAGTTTCCTTCCGCCAGAAAACATCGACGCTGCGCACATTGGATCCCACATAATTTGACAAATTGTCCAAAAAAGGCTCCCGTCGATTCGGGTACATAAACGTTGCAAAAATATAAGCACGCCATGCCCAGGCAGTTAAATCACATCGTAACATGTGAGGAATCTTGGATATATGCGTATGAGTAGAAAGAAAAGTCAAATCAGCTGTTATGCAACATTCAAAAAGTCAACAAAAGTTGTTCGCGTAACAAGCACTTCGAAACAAAGGACCCACGTATCTTCGCATGCAGACGTCGACGTGGGTTAAGTGGCCTTGGAGGAACGGCGAACAATTAATTCTAAGTGGTGCAAAAGTATTAGATAAATGGAGAATAATCTCTAGAAAGACGGCGAGCAGCTCTCCTTCACCTCGCCCAGTAATTATTTTTTAAGCCTCAAAACATCGAATTAAAGCGTCATCCACCATACAGTCCTGATTTGGCACCTAATGATTTCTTCCTAATGATTTGGTCTCGTATGCCAAGGATAAGCTGCTCGCTTTCAAATTGGTTTGAGCATCTGATATAGTAAATATATAAATCATGCAGGAGAATATTTTGAAGAACAACACAACCACTTCTACCGACAAATTTTTCATTTTCTTTGTTAGTCTAAGGACCTATTTAGTGTCCCCCGTAGACGCAATCAATATTAATAAAAAAAAAATTATAAAATAGAAAATTGTAATTAATTAAAAAAAAATGCAAAAAAATTCACATATATTTGGATGCAATAATTTAATGACTTCCATTTAAAATCGATTGAATTCGAGATACTCTAGTATGTAGGATATACATATGTATGTACATATGAGTAGTCCACTTGCAAAGTGCGCTATGTAAAATTTTTTCGATTTCTAGTTTTTGGTGGATTACGTACCAGTATTTAAAGTAGTTTCATGTCCACTAAAAACAGAGTGCAAAATCTTTTTATATTCTGAAAAAAAATTTGCATCAAATGTTAAGTTTTCTTCCAAAAGTCGCTATCATACTTATTTATAAACTTTCAAAAGTATCCATCTTCTGATGAACTTAGAAAACTGCTTTAGGTCGTATAGACTGTTAATGTTATCTTATGACATGTTATGTTATGTTACAATTTTGTAAGGCTCTTACTTATCCAAATTTTCTGGTTATAATAAAAAGGATTCAATTTAAGTGCTACTTGTTGTCGTAGTCGTTTTTTTTTCAAATTTATGGCTTTCTGTTATAAAATCATAAATATTTAAATATAAAAAACTCTGTATCGTTCGTTCGATTTTTAAAAATGGGGTGTCACATGAAAGGCCTTGTCCTTTGGGTGTACACCATAGCCTTAGTTCCATGAAAGTTGCCACATGTTAGAAAATCGAATTCAAAATTTCTTTGCCGCAGAGGGTTGCGTTAAATATTTAACACCAAGTCATAAAATCTGTATCGTTCGTACGATTTTCAAAAATGAGGTGTCACATGAAAGGGCTTGTCCTTCGGGTGTGCAACATAGCTTTAGTTCCATGAAAGGAGTTGCCACATGTTAGATAAACAAATTCATAATTTCTCTGCCGCAGAGGGTTGCGTAAAATATTTAAATCAAGTCATAAAATCTGTATCGTTCGTACGATTTTCAAAAATGAGGTGTCACATGAAAGGGCTTGACCTGCAGATGTGCAGTATGGTTTTAGTCTTTTAAAGGGTTGCCATATATACGAAAATCAAATTCAAAATATTTATTAAGCTAAACGAATTATCCCAATATGGGTATCAAAAAAAAATGGTTTTGAATAAGTTGTATTTTCTAGCTAAATGTAGGAGGGTTGCCACCTGTTTCAAAAGTAAAATTTAGTTAAATTATACAAAAGTCTTACGCTTAACACAATTAAAATATTTTTGAGGTGCCTGAAGAGGGTGGCCACCTGTTAAAAAGTTAAACTCAAATTATTGAAGCAAATCTTATTACTATAGCTCCGTTATGTTTGCGATAAATATTTAACGCCACGGTACAGGTAGCATATGACGGGTATAGAAAACGAATAGCTGCGTTAAACGCCGATTGGGCGGGAAAAGACTAATGCAAAGACAAGAATATAATCAAAAACAAATATAAAGGTAAGATGAAGATGAAGATGAAGATGAAGGTGAAGATGAAGATGAAGATGAAGATGAAGATGAAGATGAAGATGAAGATGAAGATGAAGATGAAGATGAAGATGAAGATGAAGACGAAGATGAAGATGAAGATGAAGATGAAGATGAAGATGAAGATGAAGA